GAATAATATGCTTGGTTATTTATTTAACATGCTTGCTATTATTGTGAATTTGGTGGGTGCATCATGTAAGCATGTAGATGCTATTCGAAAAAGTTACCATGCCGATATTTTGGAGAAACTTAATATTGGGGAACTTTGTGTTGGGAGCGGTTAGTTTCAAGAAATGAGTTTGGCACGCCCAGGTGATACTAGATAGGGCTCATACTTACTGATAACTACTCGTGTTATTAATATGTTTAATGCTATCATAGATGTTCTTAAGGATATCAGAAGATGGCATAAATTTAGATCAGAAATCAATGGCCGCAAGATAGATGAACACCATGCAGGACTTTGAGTTTATGTACAGTCTCCACTTTATGTTTGAAATTCTTGCAATTACAGAAGACCTTTCACAAGCCTTACAAAAAAAAAGATTAGGATATTTAGAATGCTTTGAGGTTATTGAATTTGTGTAAGTATGCATTGCAAGACATGATAGACAAAGACTGGGATAATTTGTTGAGTAGAGTGATTGAGTTTTGTCTTATTAGACATATTTTAGTATTGAAACATCAACCTAGGCGTGGAACTCAGTAGGTAACTTATCATCATCGCTTTTATGTTGTATTGTCATGTGATAGACTCAATCTTGTAAGAGTTGAATGATTGTTTTTTTGAGACAACTAAGGCTGTCCGTGGGTCGGTTTGGTTCGATTCTGAAGAGACCCGAACCGACCCAAAACTTTCGGGTATTTAATAAATGGATCCGTCGGGTCCAAATATAATTATGGAACTGTTCGGGTTCGGTTCCGTTCGGGTCGGTTCGGTTCCGTTCAGTTCCGTACCATAATTAAATTTTTTAATATTTACAGTAACACTACATAAATACAACTAATGATATTTCATTCGTAACTTTTACAAATTAACGTATCCCAATTCAAAAACATATAAATAACTAGCGGTCCAATAAGATTAATTCAATGCATATAAATACCAAAAAGTAGATATTAATATTACAGCAACACTACATAAAGTATATTCATTTGCTTCAAATTAAAATGGGCTGATGGGTTTTAAAAATGATTTGAGCTTTAAAATTAAAATTATGAAATAATCTGATTTATTTAATTAATTTGCTAATTTGTTTAAAAAAAATAAAATAATTTAATTAATTCAATATAAAAAATAAAAAAAATTATTTAATTTCGGTTCTTATTCGGTTTTTCGGTTCTTAGTATAGACCCGAAGCCCGACCCAAACTCATCGATTCTTGATTCGGGTACCCGTTCGGGTGTTTAATTTATGAAGAACCGCTCGATTCGGTTCGGTTCGGTTCGGGACTTTTGGACACCCCTAAAGACAACTACTGAGCTCCTAACTTGCATTTTGTGTTTAAATCCAAGAAATTCCTTTGCAGCTTTTAATAGGGATAAATTACTACGTCTTGCTCAGTTGTATGCTTTGGACTTGAATAACGAAGAGCTTTTATTACTTCGACCTCAACTGAACAAGTTTATGTTTGTGATAATGGATGAAGCCTTCTTTAACCTTAACATCATTTCTTATGTGGCTTAGAAGTTGGTTGAAACAAGAAGCTCTTGTTATTTTCCAGTGGTTTATAGGCTGATCATCTTGGTTTTGATATTACCTGTTACAACTGCAAATGTTGAAAGAGTATTCTCTGCTATAAATATAATCAAGAGTGACTTGCGCAACAAAATGGGAGACGACTAGTTGAATGACAATTTGATGGTTTACATGGAGAAGGAGATTTTTGAAAAAATTGATAATGAAGCAATATTGCAACATTTTCAAAACACGAGATCCTGTAGAATGTAGTTGTCTAAAATCACAGTTACAGAGTAGGTTGTATTACATATTTATTTAGTATTTTGGGCTGTATTGAATTACATTTTCATATATATATATAGTTTTTTACGTTTTAGTGCGTTTACATATATATTGAATATTTTTTAATATTATTTAATTTAATATTAATAAACGACCTCGCTCTTACGATTGCTGATTGTCGACGTTGACCGGTCAATGTCCGCCCGGGCTGAATTTCAATGCAGGGTCCGCCACTGAGTGTCACTGTCGCTACCACGATTTGTACGATTAATTGTCCTCCAAAATTTAATTGCTTAAATTCAGTTCGGCTCTAAATATTGGGGTGCATTTGATTGTCAATATTTTCTATGAAAAATGTGTTTTTTTTATCCAAAATCTTATTTTTGTGCTGTTTGATTGTCATTTTTCCAAGAAAAATATTTTCTTACTTTTTGTCACGTGACTATATTTTTCTCAAAATGAAGGAAAATATTTTCTGTTGGGGAGTAGGATTTTATTTTCAGATAATTCACTATCTCTTTCTCTCTCTTATCTGTCCACTCTTTCTCATCTACCCACCAATAAAAAATTGACAAGTATAATATTTTCTAAGTTGAAAACTAAGTCAATCAAACACATTTAATTAATAATTTTCATACAAATAAATTCTAGACAATTGAATTGCCTAAAATTTATTTTTTCCATGCAAACTTCATTCTCGCAATCAAACACACCTTTGAAGTTGAGAACCAATCAATTCTAGTCCGATTCTCGTTTAAAACACCCATAATCAAACTCGGTGTAACCTGGTGTACCAATATATCGGTTGGACTTGGTCAAATTTGAATCATTACGTGCAAATTCTAATTTTTATTGGTTCAGCATTCTCCCACTCACGAGTTGTATTCATCTTACTCCTATATGGTTTTAGTGTAATTTATAATAATTTTGACTCCAACTTTCTGCACATTTTGATACTTGTTAAATATCATAGCTTAAGATTTTTTAAAGTCAAAACTCCATTTCTATTGGTTACTGAATTTTATAACATTAAATTGAAGGAACGGAATCAATCAACTGGTCGGTTTTGGTTCCATTTCGATTCAATTTCATTCTCTTCGAAATAGATGATTTCAACTAGACTATGTTCATCCCTACTTTAACACCTAGATTCTCGAATATCACAAAACCAAGAATTGACAAGCTATTTCATGAACTTTAATTTTTTTTTCGTGTTATTTAATTTGTCTTTCTTATCTTGTGATCACTTTTCTAGAGCGTGCTTATTCATGAATACAATTCTCTATTGGTTAATTTTATTTTTTTTTAGCCAGAGTGCGTTTCATTTTCAGTCATTTATTGACAAGCCATTCCATGACCTGTCTTATTGTTATTGTATAGGGCACCCATCATCGAAGTAATCTCTGGAGCATGCTATATAAGTGCTTCGATTTACTTTAATTATTAACTTTCATTTGGTCACTTTGAAATCAAATCAAGTCAAGTCTATTAGAGTGACTAAAGGCATTATTTTAACTCAAAAAATCAAGTAACAAATGAAACACCGATGCGGTACGAGAAATGAGTCAGTTTATCATCTGATCGGGGTACTAAACTTATAATTTTAATTTAATTGATGCAGTACGAGAAATGAGTCAGTTTAATTTTTAATTTTTATAGCCTTGACTTTTCATTATTTTATGCGTTTTAATTGCTTTTAAGTTAGAATCATTAGATTTTTTGCAAGAGTGGGTTTTAATTTATGAGTTTTACTATTTAAGCTCTCATCTAGCTTATTGTTTCTGAGTGGTTTATTGAATATTTTTTTTTTCTTATTTTAACATTCTTCAAAATCAACAATTTTGTTGATAAAGAATCAATTCTCGATATTTGTTCTTGAACCAATATGTATTGATTGTTAAGTATCCATTAGATGCTCTAACCTTAACTTTTTACTTTTTTTAAGTGAATGCAAGGCGGACTTTTAAACATCAGTAAAATTAGTGTTATTTTGATTACATGTCATATATATATATTTTTTGTACTTCATTCACCTAGGGACATAGCCAGGATTTCCGCTCCCGAAATTTTATTTTAACTAAGAGAATTGAAAACAATGATTTTGAGTACCAAAATAGGCAAGTCAAGTTGACTGATCAAAAAGACAATCAGTTTGTCGATACAAAAAATAATATGTTTATCTATATTTCTAACGCTATACAAATTGAAAACATGAATTTTAGATGGATATCAAAAAGACAAAAAGTAAATTGCATATCTATATAACAGATGGTAGAGATGGCTTGGACATCAGAAATTGATCTCTCCTTGCCCTCATTACTTGCCTAGCTATTGCCACAAGAGCCAATTGGAGTCGATGAGCAAAACAATGAACATAATATGCATATGGACATTCCTCAATGAATAAAGCTTGCAATCCATTCTACTCTCCTCACATATTACTAGCTCCATCATATCCTTGACCACGGATTTTTTGTATGCTAAGGTTATGTTGAGAGAGCACTTTATGTATCTCCTTCTTTAAAGTTGATGATTTTGTGGGGCGAAACTGAAAAGTACATTACAAATTAACTAGGGATAGTGGACCAATAGACAATGTTGGGGGTGGTCGCCTCCCATCTCCGTCTCTGCGTTCACCTATATTTGATGCTTTAACCTTGACTTTTTACCTTTTTTTTTTTAAGTAAGACCGGCATTCAAATGTTGGTATAAACAAGTGTTGTGTCACTTACTTCTGGCAAAGTGATATTACTCTATGGAAAATTTTATGGTGATTAAAATTGTAAGCTTAGAAATGTAGATCTAAATTTTAATCTAAATCAAAGTTTCACATGTTTTATGGGACTCACAACTTTTCAACCACACCTCTCATTACCTTTTATCATAATTTATTAAAAATCGAATTTTAATCCCTATCAAACAAAAGAGAGGCTAAATTACCTAAAAATTATAGCTGCCTCATCTTTTATTAATCATTGTTTATTGTGTTCAATAATAAATTAATTAAAGATGGATAGTTGGATTATATATAGAAGATTTCTTAATTCATTTTGGACGTCAGTGCTAATTACCTACACCCAGCTAGTGATAAATAAAAATTTCCTCCGTAAACACAAGAAAATGTCTCTTCTTTCTTCTTACAATCCCAAAACACATATGGTTCTGTTTCCTTTCATGTCCAAAGGCCATACTATCCCCCTTCTTCACCTTGGTCGCCTCCTCCTCGACCGCGGCAGCTCGATAACCCTCTGCACCACCCCGGAAGTGAGAAAAGTTGATCAATGGATAATGAATTTAGCTCAATACTCAAGTACATTGATTCAACCTTGAGCTGGTATTTAATTACAAGAGAAGGTTCTAGATTATACAGGTGTGATTGAATCCTAAAATCAAGGAGTTTTTTAGAATAAAATTACAACAGATTGGTGGTGGAAGCATGATGGCAAACAGACGAGTGAGCTGCTGATATGGTATTTGATATGCAGCAATGCTGAGCTGGAAGACTTATTATTAAGCTAATTCTTTTACACCCCCCGTCAAGCTGGATGGCATAGGTGTGACTCCAAGCTTGTTCTTCAGAAAATGGAATCTTGAATGAGAAAGACCTTTTGTTAGTAAATCTGCGATCTGATCTGAAGAGGGCACGTACTTCACTTCAAGTTCCTTCCTTAGCACTTTGTCTCTGATAAAATGAACATCTAACTCAATGTGTTTAGTCCTTGCATGGTATACTGGATTAGCTGCAAGAGCTCCCGCACTCATGTTATCATACCAGAGAATTGGAGTTGAATCTGGCGGTAATAGAAGTTCCTAAAAAAGTGATTGAATCCATGTTATTTCTGAGGCTGCAGAAGCAAGAGATCAATACTCTGATTCAGTGATGCTCTGATACCAAGTGAGAAAAGTTGATTAATGGATAATGAATTTAGCTCAATACTTAAGTACATTGATTTAGCCTTGAGCTGGTATTTAATTACAAGAGAAGGTTCTAGATTATACAGGTGTGATTGAATCCTAAAATCAAGGAGTCTGTTAGAATAAAATTACAACAGATTGGTGGTGGAAGCATGATGGCAAACAGACGAGTGAGCTGCTGATATGGTATTTGATATGCAGCAATGCTGAGCTGGAAGTAATGCTGAGCTGGAAGACTTATTATTAAGCTAATTCTTTTACACCGAAAAACCATCCGTACATTGTTCAGTCTCTTTCCGGCGATGATATTACCATCATAGACCTTCCATTTCCAGGGAACATTCCCGGTATTCCTCCAAGAATTGAAAGCACGAACAAACTCCTGCCCATGTCTCTTTTCCTTTCCTTTGCCAAAGCCACGAAACTCATGCAGCCCTACTTTGAAAGTGCATTGTAAAAAATTCCTCATGTCACCTGTATCATATCAGATCAGTTCCTCCATTGGATGGTGGAATCTGCCATGAAATTTGGCATTCAACTGCTGGGATTCAATGGTATGAGCAACTACGTGAATGCAATTAACAGAGATGCAGACATCAATGGGCTACTGTTACTACACGAGTCCGCCGACGAACCCTTCACTNGCTACTGTTACTACACGAGGCCGCCGACGAATCCTTCACTCTCATCAGCTTTCCATGGATTAAGCTCACCAGTAATGTCTTTGTGTACCAGTTTATTAAACGGTGTCCGTCAAGTCCTCTATTCAACTTCGTAATGGAGATGGCTATAGCCCTGTCCAAAAGTTATGGTCTATTGGTGAACAGTTTCTACGAGCTCAAGCCACTGCATACAGAGTACTGGAACCGTGATTCTAAACCAAAAGTATTCTGTATCGGACCTTTCTGTATGGCCCGACAACAAAAAATGGAGCCCGTATTACACAAGGAATGTAGATGGATTAAATGGTTGGATCAAAAACTGGCACAGGAAAAACTAGTTCTGTATGTTGCATTCGGGTCCCAAGCAGAAATATCATCAACACAGTTGACAGAAATCGCTCGTGGCCTGGAAGAATCGAAAGTGAACTTCTTGTTGGTAGTGAGAAAGAATGGAATTGAATTAGGTGACGAATTTGAAGACAGGATAAAGGAAAGTGGAATCGTAGTAAATGAATGGGTTAAATGATGGCGTAGCAACCCCTGAATGTAAAAATGGTAGTGGAAGAGATTAATATCGTGTTACGGGGCGAAATAGCTATTGGGGCGGTCAATGAATTTGTGCCCGTGGAGAGCTTGAAGAATAAAGTGAAAGAACTTATGGAAGGGGAAAAGGGAGATGAGGTGAGGAAAAAGGTGAAGCAAGTGGCCGAGGTAGCAAGGAACTCCATGTTGGAGGGCAGCTCGTCTTGGCATACACTAAACCAACTCATTAAAGAGATTTATTTGCAAAATCAGCCAAAAAAGTAAATAAAAGTTACTTTTGAATAAAAATTTGTTCTTGTAACTTAATTTTGTTCCAAGTTTTGAGTGAAAGTATTCACCTTGCTGTAAAAATATACCATCGGAGAGAAATAGGGTGAAAAATGTAGCAGCGTGTTTTGGCCTAATTATAGGGTGCTTTAAGAAGTAATGCTTTTTGTTAAACTTTTTGGCTACTTCCATGCATTTAATTCATTTTGTCTACAAATAATAGGTTCAATCTTGCTACATGTAAGAGGGATTTCACCAAAAAGTTTGATAGATTGTCAGTTTGTCACAATTTCAATATTGAATGTTGGATAAAAAAACCTTTAAACCAGTCAATTCAATGTTGTCATCTCATCACCTATAAAAATTCTTGGCAAAAATCCATTTAAGCTTAATTCTAATAGGTTTCCTTTTATTTTGACTATTGGCCACAAATTTTGAGGCCCAACTGTCAATATGCTGAACCAATCGAATTGGTACACCAATGTTGAAGAAGAGACTAGATTAACAGCATGAAGAAGGCTCTTTGAATTGTCATCGACTGAAGTTTGACCAAAATGCTTGTGTTATATATATTTAGGAGCACTGGCGAGCCTTACCCCCAATAAATTTTTTATTGGGATTTTTACATTCTAGTATGACTTAAAAAAAAAGTTTAGTTCAATTCTTGATCTGTCCCTATTTAGGAGGAGGCTTGATCTGTCCTCACGAAAAGAAATCAATTTAAGCCAGGCGGCTACACGTAGCTAAAAAGAGCATGCCGAAGCTGAAAGATATCTTAAAAAATAATTTTTGTGAACTGTTCTCGGTTAGGAATTTTTGTGAAAAATCATCTCAGCAGTTGAACTCCACGTTTTATCTGTAAGGATTTTTGATGAAATAATTTGTCGAAAAAACAAAAAAAAACACAATCACAAAATGTAATCAAAATAAACGAATGCAAGAACACCAAACTGTTGACCCAGTTCAGCCAATAAGCCTAGTCTGAAAGACTCAGGGACTGTGGCCCATTCCACTAGTGCAAAATAGCATTCGAAGAGAGAGTAGTGTACATCAAACCACTCAAAACCTCTGGTTTGATCATCGATCCGTATGGATCTACAAAACCAAGACACAAATCATTCACAACAATCAACTTTAACTAGTCCAAACCAAACCTTAGAACAATACAAACTTCACACGGACTAGAGTTACTGTAGCAGGACAAAAATGACAAGATTAATCAGAAATGTGAGCACGTGCATTTTTTTAAGTTCATTTGGTTGTCCATGATTAATTCTTTAATTTAAAAAAACTGTTGTTTTTCTTAATTTTCAAAAATTTGATGCTATTTTTGTCAAATAGTTTGTCGCTTGAGTGATAGAAGCAGAAGCTCCTTTGGTCACTTCTTGCTCGACCCTTACTCGAGCGACGGGACATAATTTTGAATTTTAACATTATTTTCTGGGGTTTTACGCATATTTCCACTTTCTTCTCTCAATTTCTTCTAAGTTTCTCCATCCTACATCAAATTTGTGCTTTCCCCATACTTCAAACACTTGAAATCATTACATTTTGGTGCTACTTCATTGATTCCACTATTTTCAAGAGGTAAATCACTTAAACCCTTATTTTCTCTTGTTTTCTTCAAATTCTTTTGGGTTTATGGTTTTTGGTCATTCTTGCCTTAATTTTAGCATTTGTCTTCATATGTTTAGTGATTATCATGCCACATGATCACGTATTGCACAATTTTCCACTCACATTTGGCTTGTTTGGTTGGTTTTTGACACGCATTGTGGTGTTTCTTTTTCATGTCTATCATTTTTAGCTTTTTTCTAGATTTTGATAGATGTTAGTAGTTACATTGCATGTTGTTGGTTTTGGAATTGGAGTTGTGGAGACGTTGGGTGCTTACTTTTCATTTTCTACATATTTTTACTTTATTGTGATTTTGTCTTATTGTTTCTTGTGTTGTTGTTTGAGTTGTGGGTCGTTGATGGTTTGTGATGATGGTGTTTTTGGTTGGAGTGGTAATTGTGTTAGTTGCATTGTACCTACATTTGATCGTATTGTGGTTAGTCATTTTAGATTGTCTAGTTATAGGTTGAAAGTGTGGTGTTTGTTTTTTGTTATGCACGCGAGGCACACAGATTCACTGGTTCTAGTTATAGTCTTAGATTCTTTTTGGTGTTGATCCCATGTCGTGTTGTCACGTTACTGCGGCATGCCATCACGACATACCTTATGTCTTCACGTCACCTACGTTTAGGCTTCACGATATCTTTTTTTGTATTTATTCACAAGTGCGTTGCATATGCATTTTTACCTCGTTTTACGTACTTTCATGCATCTAATTTGTTCGGTCGGAGTTTTGATATATTGGTTTTAACCATTTCAGATGCTGCCTAAGAGAGCTTATACTACCTCTCATACCACCGATGTTATATCAAGTCTTGTTCATATTCCTAGGATTGTTCACCCCTTGTTTCCTTATCTGTCTGTTGAGACACTTCCATCGGACTCTCAAGTCTGTTCCACAGTATTTAACACACCATTAGAGGGTAGTCCAAGTGCAATGCGCACTGGTTTTCTTCCCACTGATCACGAAATTTTGTTGAATATCGTGTGCACAAATCTGTGGCCAGTGTCGCATGCCTCTTCTTTACCTATGGAGAAGGCTCGATTTTTGTACACCCTTTTGTACAGCGACTCTATTGATCTGCCTACTTTCATATGTCAGCAAATCTTGCGTGCCTTTCATGTCACGGGGACTCGGGTGGGACTTCCCTATACCTATCTTATTCATCGTCTTGTGTCAGCATTTGGCATTAGTTCTCCTGATGGGGTTCCTTGAAGGGTTTTTTGGCCGATTGGCTGCACTACTTTTGCTCAGTGTGGTCACATGCTTCTTCTAATCCAGTTGATCCGACTGCGCCAACTGATCCTTTTGATGATCTTATCTTTGTTGATCCATCGGATTTCCCTCCTGCTTCTTCTGTTCATCCACCCATTAATATTGCCTCAACATCTACGTCTGCTCCTTCCCCTTTATAGTTTATTCCACCTTTTACATCTATTTCCATTGACCCATCTGTTGCTCTTATGGGATAGATGACCGTACTAATCAAGTAGCAGACTTGGATGATAGTAGAGCTTACACAGCTAGTGCCTACAGTTGATCGACACACTACCAAGTTTACTACGTTTCGAGGTGCTGTTAGATATCATCAGTGTGGACTTCGATGAATTCGTCGTTACTAGGCTGATGATGTCATTTCAGAGGAGGGGACTTATCCTGATGATGCTGTCGGTGCTGATTAGTTTTTGGATTATCCCTTGTCATTTTATAACAAAAAGGGAGAGTAGATGTGTATATAGTAGATATTTTAAGAGAATGTATATGTTTTTATCTACTTGATGTATCTAAAACGTTTGATTCTAATTATATGATATATTTTCAATTTTTGTTAGATTAAGTTTTGATGTTTTAGTGTTATCAATGTTTTGTTTTGATATGTTGGGTTGCATTGATATTACAACTTAATTTAGCATATGATATGAAACTGAAAAAGTTGTATTATGAGTTATTAACTACTTAAATTACTTTTACACTATGAACTGCTTAAACTATTTTTACACTTAATACTGTTTCACATACTGAGTATTTGAGTTGTCTATTTCAGGAAATAAATATTGAAAAATGAATTACAGAATTCGTTCAGGACAATTGTTGGTTGTGTCAGCTGATTTGAGTCTGTAATTTTAATTTACTACTATCTTGACTTAGATTATAGTTTTGTTATAGAATGCCAAATGGGGAGTTTGTTAGGTATTTAATGTAATTGGTAAATCTGTGAACAAAAATGACTAAAGTTGATATGTTGTAAAAAGTCAAGGAGTAGTATGCAATCAGTGAAAGTTATGATATTTTAGGTCTAGGGTTCGAGAATAAAAAAGAATGAAAAACGGTGTGGATTTTCGCTAGACTGTTGCCAATGTTTGGTTCGAGCGTCAGAAATAGAAATTTCATCGCTCGACTGTCGCCCACTCTTCGTTTGAGATCATTTTAAAGGCTTTTTGTCATACCCATTCATTCTCTAACCTACATATAATATTTAAATATTACAGAACGATTTTATAAGGTTGATTATTGAGAGAAACACATTCCATTGAGATCATTTTCATATATTTTGCTTTCAACATTCGTCATGTTATTGACTTTTGGTGAGAAAAACATCAGATTCAGAATCCAAATATCATATCTGTCAAAGTTTTTGAAGATCAAAGGAAGGTGACTGAAGTTCCAGTTGTTGAAGAACACAGTGTTCTTCGTGAATCTATAGGAGATAGACGATTTTACAAAGTTGAGAGTTGCTACAGGAGAGTGCAATCCAGGAGAGTTTTGGAAACTGGAGATGGGAGTTGGTGCTGGAGCACAGAATCTAAGAGATCTGTTGAAATTGCAGTTAGGAGATCAGATAGTATGTGTCGTCATCAAGTCTAGTAGACTGTAAGTTATAAATAGCTTGTAGCGGATTGTTGACTGGCAAAGTGCCCAGAGTTTTTACCCAGCTGGAGTTTCTCCATAATCATACCGTGTGTTGTTTATTGCTTTGTTTACTATTTTTATATTCTGCGGTATTCAAACATAGGTTAATTGAACTGATTGCATAATCATCTAGAGATAATCAATTAATGACTTGTTGCTAATTTATTATAATTTATTAATTTCGCATA